TTCCACACTATGCCCCAGAAATTCTCTTGTATGGATGCATATATGATTGATTCAGCAATGGAACTTACCAGGAACAGAAATAAGTTCAAGGATTCATCAAAGACATATACTAGAATATCTACAGCAACACTAGTCGGATTAGCCCCCGTTGCCTGGAAAAACAAAAACGTGCAGGCAAACAAAGGTCAGACTGCTTCTGGAATTGTCCGGCCGCGGTAGGTGTCAATGTACTATGTTGCTCCAATAGTCTATCAATCTTTGCAACCTCTTCATTAACATGACTCAATAAATTCCTCAGGTGTAGCGTAGGACAGAGTTTAAACAGCATGGTTCCAAAGCCAACGTGTGTTTGAATCCTGTGGCCAGAGCTTACTAGACGCAAGATTTTGGTCAAGTTATCTAAACTTTTTTTGTTCCTCCATTTCTTCAACCGTCAAGAAGAGGTGATAACAGTACTTTCCTCACAGAGTTTTTTAGGAAGACCAATTGAATCAATGCACACAAAGCACGGGGAATACTGCCCAAGATGCAGTAAATATTTCTTAAAATCTTAATACTATTTATTAAATCTCTTTCATATGTTCTAGTGCTCTGATATGGCACTAGAACCGATGAAACCACAGAAATATCACATTTGGGTTAGGATCAATGAGGCACCGCAACACATGAAATAACAGCAAAGCTTTGATAAAATACGACTTCAGTGGTGGAGAGTATAAAGGTTGAGTTCAGGGGCGCCTGGGTGGCTCAGTGGGTTAGGCAGCTGCTTTCGGCTCAGGTCATGATCCCAGGGTCCTGAGATCGAGCCCCACATTGGGCTCCCTGCTCAGCCGGGAGCCTGCTTCTCCCTCTGCCTCTGCCTGCCGCTCTGCCTACTTGTGCTTTCTCTCTCTGTCAAATAAATAAAATCTTAAAAAATAAAAAAAATAAAAGGTTGAGTTCAGACTGCTTTAATTATTTTCTGGTGCTTCAATGACTTTTCTAACACTGTTATTTGTATCTTTTGTTTTATTTTGGGAGGAGGAGGAGCTACGCCCATAGGATAGTATTTTCAGTCCTTGTGTTTTGTTTTGTTTTGTTTTAAAGATTTTATTTATTTATTTGAGAGAGAGAGAATGAGAGAGAGCACATGAGAAGGGGGAGGGTCAGAGGGAGAAAGAAGCAGGCTCCCCGCTGAGCAGGGAGCCCGATGCGGGACTCGATCCCGGGACTCCAGGATCATGACCTGAGCCGAAGGCAGTCGCCTAACCAACTGAGCCACCCAGGTGCCCCCAGTCCTTGTGTTTTTAAGGACAGCGTGGATCTTGGGGTCTTCTCTGCATTCTCCATAAAGTCTAGCAGATACAGTAGGCCCTGAATGAATGTTTGTTCAAATAAAGAGGACAAGTTCTCGCAGTGTGCTCAGTTCTGTTTAGTGAGAAACCAACCACAGGGTCATTGTTTTGCTATCTTTTGTTTTCAATTTGACTGAAGAATAGACAGAAATATTTGACTTGAGGTGTAAAAAGAGGAATTGCTCTCCACTAGAGAACAGTCTGTTCTGAAATTACCAAGGTGTGAAGCATCTTTCTCTAAAAACAAAACAAAACACAGCTATCCAAATAAACATTTTCTAAATGGTCCCTAAATAAGTTACATTATCCTATGTAAATAATTTCTGTTTTATGGTAGCTCAGCATTTACTGACATGAGAAACCCAGATGAATCAAAAAGGGATCAATGCCAGAATTTTAAATGTGCAAATTGAAAAAGACAAGAAATTCTAGTTAATTTTAACATAATGAAAAATTCCAAAATTATTAAGATGACCAACTTAGACCTTCAACCCAGCACAACTTTAATTCAGTTATTTTACTTTGTAGAAGGAAAATTAAACATTTCAACTTTAAATTTTTTAACTAAAAAATAAAATTTTAATAATAAATACAAAATTAATCTTGATTTTTTTATTTTTAAAGATTTTGAGAGAGAGAGAGAGAGAGAAAGAGAGCACCAGTGGGGGGAGGGGCAGAGGGAGAGGGAGAGGGAGAGCAGACTCCCCACTGAACAGGAAGCCCTAGGGGTTCAATCCCAGGACAGATGTTTAACCGACTGAGCCACCCAGGTGTCCTGGAAAATTAATTTCGATTTAAAAAATGGTTTGAAAGTCATCCATAACAATACCAGTCTGGTTAGATTCATAGCTCTTGGACCTTAATTTAATAAATCATTTCTTGGCATTGATAATATCAATACACAAACTGATTTCACCTTGCCTTCTACTAAGCACATTAGAGACAGAGTCTCATTTAGACCTCACTCCACTTTACCCAAGGAAACAGGTTCACTGAAGTTAAACTACATACCCAAAGTCATAGAGTTAATAAGACTGGAACTTGGGTCTGACTCCAGGTCTCTAAAGCAACCTCTCACTCTTCCCAAAAATGTGTACATTTCTCTGTACAGCTAGATTTTTTTTTTTTTTTTTACCTTCCATAGTCACCCAGAATGAAGCAACTTTTAGAACAGTGGTGGGTACAAACAGGGTTTGTTGTTTTTATCCTTGTTTTTCAGTTTTCTCCTAGATGCCTGAATCATTTTAATCCAGTTTTAAAGTCCCTGAGCCTCTTCAATGTCCTAGAAGGAGACCATTTTGTTTGATCTCATATATGTTAGCATTTGTAACTTATTCCAACCTTGCTAAGAGGACTGGTTGACAGACAGAGGCTACTGTCAGTCATTTGTTGTTGTGGATAGCAGGTTTTTTTTCATTATTCAGGCTTGACGTGGCTTTTTAATTCTCACAGCCAAAAAAGTTCTTCTAATCAGTTTCACTTATGTAAATTTTGTTGTCTCTTGAGTAACTTCTCCGTGATCTTGCCTTTTTCTTTTCTTTTTTTTTTTTTTTCATTTTTCACAGCTGCAGAGCATTGAGGTGAAAACAGCTTTTGTGTCTTGTCAAAGACGGGCTGCTTGATCTTCGGGCAGATAGCCAAAGCTTCCCATGGAGAAGCCAAGATGCTGAAAGGGAAGCCTAAGTTTGGGGGATTTTGATAGTCACCAATAATCCCAAAAATGCTGGCCAAAACTTTCACCTTGCAGTTATGCAAAAACTTCACTTGGGTTAAAACTCGTTCTCAGACTGGATACATATGTTAGGATCATTCTAGCAAGTTTCCCCAAGGTCCAAATGTTTTCGTTATTTCATATCTATGGAAGCATATTTCATATCTATAGCACCATAAACAAGAGTTGATTTGGTCTATTCATTTTTTATAATAGTATCATTTATTATCATGTGGATCCAAATCCACAGTGCATAAATCAGAGTCCATAAATAAACTGATCATGCTTCCCCATAGTTGAGGCTATATTGGGAGTGAAACCAGTGAAAAATAGGGAAAAGGTAAATGAAAAAAAATAATTCAGTCCAGTTGGGTTCAAGTCCAGATTAAAAATCCAGTGGTGGTTGAATTCAGTTGTTTAAACTCCCTCACCTCTGATGTTTATATTTGGTCTTATACATTAATGAGTTATCATTTCCTTACAAGTAGTTGAAAGTTCCTGTAAGGCAAATAATTGTGCTCAGACTTTAAAAATTATAATTTATTTGGAATAGGTAACATGTTCACAGGATTCAAAAGTCAAAGGTCCTACCAGTAAAAGTCTCCTACTAGGAACCCAATATGCCAATCCAAAAGCTACCAGTCTAAATAGCTTCTTATGTGGGCACCTGGGTGGCTCAGTCAGTTAAGTATCAGCCTTTGGCTCAGGTCATGATCTCAGGGTCCTGGGATTGAGTCCCACATTGAGCTCCCTGCTCAGTAGAGAGTCTGCTTCTCCCTCTGCTCCTCCCCACTGCTCATGTTTTCTCTCAAATAAATAAATAAAATCTTAAAAAAAAAAAAACAGCTTCTTACGCATCCTTTCAGATATACATTTTTTGCATGTACAAGCAAATGTGTATCTACATTTTTTCCCTTTCAAAAAATGCAAAATTTATATCTGGAAGGATATAATATACTATATATATATATATAATATACAAATTAAGTATACATTTTATACATACGAAGTACCTAGCAAAGTGTCCATAGTATAAACGTTGTATACATTAATATAATGTGCAAAGTGAACACACTGCACTCTTCTATACCTTCTTTTTTAATTTAACAATAAATGTATCTCAGAGATCTGTTTCATATCAGTACTGAAAGAAGTTCCTTATCTGTTTATGTGGCTGTCTAATATAGTATTCTCTTGTTTGGATTCTGCCGCCCCATTCATTTAAGCAGTTCCCTATTGATGGACATTTGGGTTATTTCCAGTGTTTTGCTATTATAAACAAAGCTGCAATGAAAATCCTTACACATATGTCCTTTTTCACATGTGAGACTGTAACTGTAGGGGGAATTTCTATAAGTGGAATTCCTGGATCATGTATAGTTTTGATAGATATCGCCAAATTATTCTTTTCAGAGGATGCACCAATTTACATTTTCACTAAAATGTAAGGGATCACAGATTTTCTTCTATCATTACATTTATCCTGTAATAAATAAATAAATAAATAAATAATAAAGATTTATTTTATTTTTTTTTAAAGATTTTATTTATTTATTTGACAGAGAGAGACACAGCGAGAGAGGGAACACAAGCAGGGGGAGTGGGAGAGGGAGAAGCAGGCTTCCCGCTGAGCAGAGAGCCTAATGCAGGGCTCGATCCCAGGACCCTGGGATCATGACCTGAGCCGAAGGCAGATGCTTAACTGACTGAACCACCCAGGCATCCCAATAAATATGATTTAAAAAGCTGCTCTTCACATGCTATGGTCTCAATGTTTGTGTCCCCCCCAAATTCACATCCTGAAATCCTAACCCCCAAAGATGATGGTATTAAGATGATAGGGCCTTTGGAAGGTTCTTACATTATGAGGGTGAAACTCTCATGAATGGGATTAGTGTTCTCATGAATGGGAAAGAGACCCCACAGAGATCCCTTGCCCTTTTCGCCATGGGAGGGCACAGCTAGAAGGTGCCAGTTACAAACCAGGAGGAGGATCCTGACCAGAATACAACCATGCTGGCACCTTGATCTTGGACTTCCCAGTCCCCAGAAAGGTCAGAAATAAATTTGTTGTTTATAAGCCACCTGCTCTGTGGTAGTTTGTTATAGCAGCCTGCATGGACTAAAAACACACCATCAGAGGTAGGTGTCTTCTCCATTCTCCCAGGTCCATGCTGAATCTGGCCTCATTGGTGAGTCTCCTAGCACCTGGGATTTCCCCCTTCCCCTACTTTATAACATTGGCTGTCCTCTCTTCTCACTGTCCTGAGACATTTTCCTTAAACTCTCATATTCTCTAGCACTTGAATTATTACTTAATTCTTCTTGAATATATGTAGCATGTCTTCAGTTAGGCAGTAAGTATCTTTTCTACAAAGATACTGATATTCTTTAAAAACATCTAGAATCCAACATATATTCTTAGGAATAGTCATCATCACCTTTTGAGTGTCTTATTCAGAGACATGATCACAAGTCTCTTTAAAGTGAGCTTGATGACTCAGCAATTAAGAGTCCTACACTTCCATGAATGATAAATGTTGTCATGTTTGTCTTAAAACTATACATCTTTTTATGGTCCCACCCGAGACCAGGCCTTAATGCTCTTCTTGACTTCATGCTAGACATCTCACTTCCTTTTCAGAATGTGAAGACTGGAATACATCCAGCTTTATACGCATTAGCTTGCATATCCATGCTTACTGATCTGAGAACAGTCCTCTCTCAGAGGAAAGTCCCTTTGTTTCCTCAGAGCTGTCTTGGGGACCACTCCTTCTCTCTCACCCTCCCTCCTTCAGATCTCCAATTTGTACAACACGATTTTGACTTTTTTATTGGTGTTGTCCTAAAAGAAGCTATAGAGTAAGAGGGAAGGAAAGTTTTCAATACATTCTTTTGAAGAAAATACTTTTTTCGGTATTTACCGAAAATATTTTTTCGGTATTCGCACAGAACTAAGAGTATGCTGCATAAACAGCAACCATGAAGTAAAGAACTAGGAAGGTAGCTGCAGACATTCCCAGTACTTTTTCCACTGGGACATTAAACTGGGTGTGGTTTTATAAAGCCCAGAAAACAAGACAGTGGACATGCTGGTGCACCAAGGAACAAAATAAATAATATTTTATTAAATTAATGCAGGTGTAAACAATGGCAATTAAAATGCAGAACTAAATATCCTCTCTGCATATGTCATTTAGAGTGAAACACAAGACAAGGAGATAAAGTGCCTTACAAATCCAACACCGTAAGAGGGCATTAACATTTAGGAATGGAGTGAATAGACTGTTCCTGCTCAGCCAGAATGCTCCTTATACGTCACACAAAGGATATTGTCATACAAACAAGGGATGCTGTACAGATAAACATGTACGAAAAGATAACAGAAAGAGTTCTGTTGGAGATTCTGGTTCTTCAGCCTTGACATGTGGCAAAACAAAGGTTTTCTTTGTCGATAAACCAGGTGAACGTTTGGCCAAGAGAGCAGGAATACGCTGGGAGGCATGGGAACCTCAAAGCCTTTGAAATGCAACATCTTAGATCTATGTAGTGATGAGAACTGGTCAGACTAAGGGGTTCAGGCACAGCTCATGGCCTTTTCTAGCAGAGGCGAGAGTCAAGGTACATTACTGGAATTTCCAAAAAAACAAAAACAAAAAGCCCACCCCTGTCTTTTTACACCTGCAAAATCAAAGTCTAGTTCTTCTACTCAAGAGAAAACAGATAGGAAAAAACACAAGTTCCAGACATGATTCTATCATGCAGAATTAGTAATAAAGTCATCCTTTAGGAGTAGGCTGACCCAGTGTACCCTGGAGAACCCAACGGTCTCACTTTGGGAAATGCAAAATAAACCAAATCCAAACTCAGTCATAGAGCAATCAGTCAACAAATGCTGGTTGTCCAAATGTCAATGAAGTACATATTTAGCATGTACTAAGTCTTATAAAAGATACTAACAGGCCATGGAAATGCTGATCTAGAAATAAACAAGGCACAGGGCCTGGCCCCTGGGAACTTCACATTTGTTCCAATGGTCCCATAAGATATAATACATTAAATAAAAATAGCAAAGTGCACAGCAGACGAATAGTGTGTTACCACTTATGTGAATAAAAAATATACTTTATATATATATATCTACATATATTCATAGACTATCTTTAGAAGACTACAAAAACAAAAGACAAGAGTGGCTGCTTCTGGAAAGGAAATCCAATGGCTAGGAGGATGGAATGGGGACTTTTTAATGTCTCCTCTCGGACCTTCTGAATTTTGAATCATGGAAAGCTTTGAATTCAAACTTTAGCAGCACTTAAATAAAAAAAGAGAGAACTGCTGAACAATACCAACACCATATACATAAGCATCAGATTGCATGGCAAAGGCAAATAAATCAGACATAAATATAATGATAGAAAAGGAACTCAAGAGTTATTTTCCACAATTTTTAAAAATACCGACTTACCCCCATAAACTAAAATCACTTTGATTAAAATGTATTTTCAGGGGCGCCTGGGTGGCTCAGTCGTTAAGCGTCTGCCTTCGGCTCAGGTCATGATCCCAGGGTTCTGGGATCGGGCCCCGCATCGGGCTCCCTGCTCGGTGGGAAGCCTGCTTCTCCCTCTCCCACTCCCCCTGCTTGTGTTCCCTCTCTCACTGTGTCTCTGTCAAATAAATAAAATCTTAAAAAAAAAAAAAAATGTACTTTCACCTTCCAGGGAACACACTGACGGGCTGTCCAGGGCATGCCCTCCCTTTGTCAGCCTTTCTAGACTCTCCTCTTCATGTCGTCATTCTCCTCCAATACCTTATGCTATGACACTGCATTAAACTGTAATAATGAATTTCCTTATCAATCTCCCCATGATACTATGAGCTCCTAGAAGAGAGGTTCTTTGTCTTGCTCAATCACTGCCCGGCACATGGGTGCTTCCTAAATGTTTTCTGAATGAATTTCCTAAAGCAAAACACAGCTCTAGACTTTATTCTAAAAGGACTGTGGGTGACAGCTGTGGAAATCTGAGGTCTGCTACTTACGGACTCAGGCCAGTTACTTTAGCTCTCTTGCTCCCTCAGCTGTGAAACGGGTTTGAAAAGAGTGCTTACCACAACACTGCTAGCCTAGGCATTAAGTGAGATTCTGTGTGTAGGATATCACATCGTTGTTAACACTGATACTTAAAATGGAACAGATACTGCAGTAACATATCTTACCTTAGGGTCCGAGAATAAGATTATTCGAGGCAACCAAAGTACTGGTGGGTTAAACAAGGTAATATCCTATACAAACCACGGGCCTGTTCTCTACGCTTCTTACGTCCTGGTGGCTGTGGAGGATACCACGCACCTTATAACTACTACACATTTTACTGAACATGCACAATTCACTAAGCAGTAAGTTCAGTTTTGTGACAACATTTTAACTTCTTCTACAATATATCTTCAAAAGAAATCATTCACAACCACACTCACGTGACAAGACTCCAAAGACTCAAAATAAATAGAAATAACATACTTAAATACTGTTGCAACACTGGGACTCTCAGTCATACAGACGACAGAGACGTTGAGTGAAGGCAAAGGGCACTTCTGCAGGAACTGACCATTAAATCAGGGAATCTCAACTTGTTTTCCTAGGATGAGCGATGGACGATTTGTGTGGGGGCTCATCTTTCAGAAGCGTCCCTCCTCTCTCCCGTAGGCACCCATGAGTCTCCCAGTCATTTTGAAGTACCAAGGTCTCCTTTCAGGCTACCCGCTCTGCTCCTTCTTGCTTTGTTCTCCTCCTCTTCTCTCCCAGCTTCCGCTGTTGAGTGATTGGATCTGGTAAGTCCTAGAGCATCTGCAGCTCGCCTGGCCCACTGCACTGCTCTGGTCATGCATAGCTCTGCCAAACTCAAACCACAGGCTGAGAATCCCTGCTTTAAGATCAGGAGTTTCAATGCTGGTTTATGTCTCTTCAAATTGTATATCTGGAGAATAATAATGACAAACATAACTCATATTTGCTAGATGATAGAATATATTTGCAATGAGAGAGACGCAGATTATATTTATGTCCAATTATCTTTATATAATAAAGTGTAACCAACCATCTGGTTTGCCCGGGTTTGTTCTGGTTTAAAACCAAGAGTCCCATGTCCTGAAAAACCCCTGGATTATGGGCAAATCAAGAGAGATGGTTGGTCACCCTAGGATACTCCAAACAACATTCACTATTTAGTTTTATAAAACAGTTGAATGGAATTGACCACATAATGAAACCTGCCTGAGCTCATCCAAACTACTTAGATTACTTTAAATTAGGGCTTGTTGTGAAGTTTGGTTTCTAACTGTATTAAAAAGAATTAGAAATCTTAATATAACTTTATTCTTAGTTCAATCAGGTTGGTAAGGTCTTTCTGACCTTTTATAAATGGAGACATTTTTGGTGAAATGAATTTAAGTGGATAAGTTAAGAGTAAAGTTTTATGGTCAGGCTAGTGGACTCCAAAGCCTGATTTCTGTCAGGTATGAGTCCTTGGGCAATTTGATATATTTTCTTGACTCTCTGGTGTTTTCTACTGTAAGATGGGAAATATCCTAGTATTTCTCTCTTTGATTTTGTTGGGGGGAGATTAAACGAGGCACTGCATATGAAGCAGTTAACATAGTGCCTACTACTCAAGTTTTAACTCTCTTTCTCTCTCTCTCTCTCTGTTACTCACCCACATAAGTCAACTTGGTCCCCTTTTGCAGGGAGGTGTTAGGATGCAGAGCTATAAATCTAGCAGAGAGAAGATGCCTCCTGCTCCATCCCCAAAGATGCTCACCACTCTACACTCCAGGGCCATCTCTAAATCTCCTTGGACTACAGGGAGAGTTCTTATATTAGAATTGTGAGGCAAAGAGGGGTCAGTAGCTCCAATAGCCAGCATTCTTTAAAGTGAGGAGAGATTATGGCTGATAGCTTTCTCCTTGTTATTACTTTAACTTTTTGTTTCTTTTTCTTTCAACTTCCTAACCCCTGCTAATATTCTTACCATCTTGTTTCTTTGAGTTCCTATCTCGGATGCCACATTCTTCCACATCCATCATTTTCCCTTGAGGAAAAAAAGGTCATTTTTATTCCCATGTAATACAACTCTACATCCCACATAGTGACTCAAGTTTAAATTCCAAGTTCCTATGAAACATTTTTAATCCCCTAGGAAATCTGGTAGACTTCTGAATTTATTCCATGGGTTCCAAGCCCTGAGGTCAATTCAACAATTTAGGGCATATGCTTTTGCTCCTAGATTTTATTTTATTTTTTAAGTTTATCTATTTTTTTAGTAATCTCTACACCCAACGTAGGGCTCGAAGTCACGACCCCAAGATCAAGAGTCGCATGGTCTTTTCTCCATCCTTCCCTCAAAGATAGACCATATACTGAGGCACTTTATTATACATGTTTTCTAGCCACTCCTAATGATGACTAATTACTTTTCATGGGAAATATTCAAAATGCAAGTTGGCAAGAGTTACTTCCTTGGACAAATCAACTCCATCTCAGGATCATCATTATCATTGGACCTTGAGCTTTCTATTCTGGCTAATTGTCTCAGTTCTGTTAAATACCTATTCTTTAGAAATAGCTGACCTCTACTCAATTACACCACTTTCCCAGATCCACCCATCCTTTTAAGGGGCTGTGGGGAATTTTTCAACCACCATTGGAATTCCCTTCCATCTTCCACTTCCCTATTTGACCTCAGATAACTCTACATACAGATCATCACTGGATCCCCTGGTATACTTCTCAAAGTATTGGGGAAATGTCTACTTTGAATCATCTTAAAATGGGAGGAAATTATTTGAATAGATGCATTTTCCTGTGTTTTAATTGTTCCCATGGGCAAAAAGAGAAATAAACACATGCAAATTGCTTTGAAAACTATATAGCACCCTCTGACAGAAATCTTGTAAAATACTCTATGGTAAAAGCATCACTGCTCTACAGACAAAAACTATTTTTATTCCTCAGGGTGCCCGGAAACCAGCTCAATATAACAGTGCAACTAATGCAAGACTCAAATTCAACTGAAGCCGACAGGCATTTTAGCTTTTTGTCCCTTACTCTAAGTCTGTGGTTATTTGCATGATGGAAAGAAACTGTACGAAGTTTGGTCTTCTTCACCCTCTGTACATACCCATTCTCGCACCTCTCACCCCACACACATGATCTTCACCCAGCAATCCTGCTCAGCTTCACTGTCATTGCTATTGAATAGTGGAATGTCTTTGTGCCACCTTGCAAAGGCCAATCAGGTTTCCCTGCAGCTATGATCCAACTGTCACCCCCTTGGAAATGCTCCCACAAGTGTTCACTGCCACCTTCCAAGGCAAGCTATGCTGCAGGACAATGAAACGAGTATGACTGGAGTAAGAGATGAGACACAGTTTCACATGGCAGTGTAGCTGAAGCCCACTTTGCATAAACGGAAGAGAATGCTAATAGGAAGGCAGCATTTTATAAACCCGTGTTTCCTGATTGTGCCACCAGCATTCTGGGGAGGAGAGTTCCCTGCTACCTGGGACTGAGCCGCACATTACAGAAGGCTGAGCACCCCTGGCGCTGCCTATAAGTGCCGCCGTGAGAACAGGAGCAGCCCTGTACATTGCCCCATATGCCCAGTGGAGACCACTGCAATAAAGGAGATACCATTTCTCTTGAGACAGATGACTGCCAGAGTTACAGCAAGAAACACCAGGACAGCTCCCAGAACCACGAAGTGAGTCCTCTCATTTGGTGGAACTGGAGGGGGTTCTGAAAAACAAAAGAAAACAAAAAGAAACTAAAGATGAAATTTTGATGGGAAGGGGTCAAGAGAATAATCATCCTTGAAGTTGAATTTCGGTTAGCTTTGGGTTACAGTGAGTGGCTGGAATGGTGGGATGCTGGCAGGAAAACGGAGCAGCCCAGAAAAGTGGAAGCAGCCCAGGCTTTGGACAGATGGGTTGGGGTTTCATTCTGCTGCCACTCACTAGCTTTGAGATCTCAGGCAAATCCTTTCACCTGCCTACAAAATGGAAATGATAATAAATTTATTGGGAGGCCAATGTTTATGAAGTGCTTATCACACACACACAGGTAGTTGCCGCTCAGTACTAAATGGGAGGCTCGGTGACCTCCCTTGCATTCTTTAATCTAGAAGCTAGCAGCCTGTTGTACATGGTAAAGATGGGACAGGAAGGCCAACTGGCACTGCCCAAGAGCTTCCACCTCCTCATGTATGTGGCCACGATTCAGGGCCATTGCTTGCTATCTTTTCTTTCTCAGTTTGAACATCTCGGGACATCTAATTCTGGATACTTCTCACCAATCTGTCTGTGGTTCCGTGAAGGAAGAAAAGGGGTCCCCTAGCACACGATGCTCAGAGACTGCTAAGTCCCTCCTCCCTCCATTGGTCATGATCCCTGACGACATCGTTCAAGCTTTAAAGCCACAACAGTGGTCAGCCTTCCTCTAGTAGCTTACAGTTTACAAAGCCTGTTTGTATCTATTTTATTTCAATCTCAAAATAAGTTCAGTTTAGACATGCAAGATGTTAAAAAAAATCTGAGGTGATAGATGAGGAAAGAGACCCCAAGCAGTTAGGTGAATAACCCTAAGTCTTCCCATAGATAAGTTGTCATAAAGCAACTTTTAAATGGCAGGAACCCATGAACGCAGCCCTAGCTACCGAAGTGACTCATAACCCAGTAAGCGCATCTCTTTAAGTTTCTCGACTTTTTTTTTTTTTTGTACTCTTCTCATTCACGGGACCATCCTGTATTGCCTTTTCCTATTGGTTGACTTTTCCACCCGAGTTCTTAGTTGTTTTTTCTGAAGTAGCTGAAGCTATACTGGCAACATCTGCTAGAAGAGGGGGCATTGAGAAGTGCTTTTCAGAACACCTCTGGGTTTATGTTAACATCATGCTCTCCTGCCTCACTTTCTCTAAAGGTCTCAGCCTCTCATCAGACTATGCATCCCACCGTACCCACTCCTATAGGGTAGTAAGAAAAAAAATAATTGAGTCTGTAAGGGCAAGAGCCTCAAATCATTTTCATACGCTGTAGCTCATTCGCCCCTATGGTAACCTTGCCTGAGAGTTTATAACTGTTATAACTAGGGAAAGTGAAGCACACAGAAGTTGAGGAGCTTAGGCAGGGACCACAACCTTATGTCTTACACACTAAGGAGATAGACCACCTTGTGTTGAAATGTCATAGACTATCTTGGGGGTGGGGTGGACAGATGGGGTATGATCCATTTGCTTGTTACCACAGAAACCCTGGAAAGAGAGGAGCAGCTCTGATGTGCTGGGATCTGGATTCCTGAAACACTGCCTGAGCTGAGTCTTCCTCAGACCATTTCCTACATGGGATCGGATTGTCTTATCTGTTTCTTATCTATTTCCCAGAGAGTGTGAACAGTGTCTTACTCTTCTATGAGCCCCTGCTGCCTGGCATATAGGGCTTATTCGATAAATATCTGCTGAATGTTTATTAAATAGCAATATGACTTGGATGAATGGAGAGGAGGAAGCATTTTGTAAATAGAGTGTTATATATGCATTCACTTATTTAATGAATGATGGATGCCTACAATGAACAGGCACCATGCTGAGGCCATAGGACAGCAGTAGGCACATTTGAATAGAGACATTCAGAATATTACCTGGAATGACCAACTTAGCAGTATTGTTTCTGTTTCCCTCAGGACCTGATCTTCGAAAAGTGCAGTAGAAAATCTCGTAAGCTGTTGTGTTGATTCTCAGTGTGCTGGTCACATTGAAAAGCTTCTCCTCCCTGTTGGAATTAGTGATGGTGGTTTTGCCACTCAGGACTTGATGGTCACTGCTTGTCCAGATGACTTCAGCCTCAGGGAAACCCTCAGCCTGACACATTAGTTCATGTTCAGAGGTGACAGGATCCACAGAAATTCTTTGGTTGATTTTGCGGTATGGGGCTAGGTCATGAGCAAAAAGAAGTCAGGGCTTTCACTTAGGACAAAACTAGATATGTGGCTTGGTGTTGTCTACATTAGGAAAAGTACCAATTCAGGTGGGTTCTCAGAGAAATAAGTTTGATGTTCAGATGTCTCAGCAGTGAGGAACCCCTGTTAGCTCTGCTTCAACTCGCCCGTTCATAGTTGGGCTACGTTTGAGCTCAAAGGAACAGCTACCTAAAATCATATTGCTATTTTTATTGGGCTCCAAGTAAATGCACAGATTAAAGAGAATTGTCATCTTTAAACCAATAGTCTTTCTATCCAAATATAAAATATGTCTGTCCATTTAATCAAGTCTTTGTATCTTTCTCATAATGCTTTATAGTTTTTGCATAGGGCCAACCCATTTCTTCTTAAATTTACTCCTGGATATTTTCTTTTTGTTGTTGTAATGCTGCCTTCATAACATGAACCTCTCCAGCTGGCCAGCATGGTTTTCTTAGACTTTATTTAATAAACAGAAAATCTGATTTTCATGTGGCATTCACTTTTCCAACTGTGAGTCAATGATCAGAAATTAAGTATGAAAAGAATATAGTATCATTATAAAAACTGGTATGTGCTCCTGGATAATACTTTTTAAAGTTTAAATTTATTTTTTACCTCAAAATAGCTTTAGATTTACAGAAAAATGGCAAACATAGTAGAAAGTCCCCACATACCTATCACCCAGTTCCCTCCTACTGTTAACATCTTATATTACCATGGTGCATTTGTCATAACTAAGGAACCAATGTTAGTACATTACTATTAGCTAAACTTCACATTTCATTCCATTTCACTTTTTTCCCTAATGTCCTTTTTCTATTCTAGGATCTCATCCAGAATACCACATTATGATACTTATTTTTTGAACTTTTTATGCTGGCTATTTGAATAAATCATTTAAATAATTATTATACTCAAGAAAGTTAGTTTAAATTTTAGATCATCGATTAAAATTTAGCTCATTGGTTTGGGACCCTTTTAAGATTAAGATACCATGTGTACTATTTTAGTAGATTATTTAATGCATTTACATCCCCTAAGATCTTTATTAATGTTTATTCATGACAAGCATGGTAACGTGTCATTATTCTATTGGTATAATCTTTATTTTACTCCTACTACTTTAGTGTAACCACCAGTGATCCACCCAGAGCCCTGACTCTCCATTCCTTTACAAAACGTATAACAATGGCTTTGTGACAAGATATATTCACAGAGATTTAATACAAAACACTAAGAATCAAACAAGACTGAAATAACTATGTGATATTTTTGTGCTCTTAAATCAATGAAACCACCAATAGAAACACTGGAAATCAACATAATTACAATTTCAAAACACATAATGATTCTCATGAGTACTTGAGTCCTCAACCTTGTATCTGTTATATTTAAGAATCCTTTAAAAAAATAAATCCACCGATTATACTTCCTGAAATAGTATTACCATAACAGGGTCTGGTTCACATAGCACAGAGCTTGATTTCTGGGCAATTTAGTTTTCAAGACTAAAATCACAGATAATGGTAAAGTATTAAAGGTAAAATGTTTGCTTTTTTACTCTTATAATTTTAACAGAATAATAAAGGAGAACGTTGCTTCATGCCTAAGCGTATGTATAAATGTGGTATACTTCTCAGGGCCCAAGAAACGAGTGGAATAGTTCTACTCATTGATTAGATATCCACTGTTCTAGTCTCTAAAGTAGAGCACATGTGTTGGGATATTGGAAGAAAACATTAGAGCTTCCACTTATATATTTTTATCATAATAATTAAGAAATAATCTAAGCTTAATAAACTTTACGAATTGACACTGGGCCTCACTTCGTATGCCACATGAGGGTCTTAGGGGAAGAGGGAAGTTTTATAACACCAAAGGGAGAATAGTGACTCCTTTGGGCTTATTACAGATTTCCAGATTCTCTTATTTAATTTTAACTAGACTCACCTGCTTACAAAATGAACTGATTAAAAATTTTCCCACAACGAAACTGAGGATGTAATACTAATACTTCAAGCACAAACCACAAGGAAGTGGCAGGAGGGACAATTTTTACCACCACTTTATGAAGTTAAAACAATAAGTACCTAGTTGGACCTGATAAGGTATTGGTTTAAAAACCCTCCAGATTGTAGATAATGCTGCTATAAACACTGCGGTGCATGTATCCCTTTGAATTAGTATTTTTGTATCGTTTGGGTAAATGCCTAGTAGGGCAATTGCTGGATCACAGGGTAGTTCTATTTTAACTTTTTGAGGAACCTCCATACTGTTTTCTTACAATAGCCAAATTATGGAAACAGCCCATTTGTCTGCTGACTGATGAATGGATAAAGAAAATGTGGTATGTATGTGCATATAAACACACACACAAAGAGACACACATACACTGGAAATATTACTCAGTCATAAAAAAGAATGAAATCTTTTTTATTTGCAAAGATGTGGATGGAGCTATAGAGTACAATACTAATTGAAATAGTCAAAGAAAGACAAAAACCATATGATTTCACTCAGTGGAATTTAAGAAACAAAACAAATAAGCATGGGGAAAAAAGAGAGAGAGAGGTAAATGAAGCAACAGACTTCACTATAGAGTACAAACTGATGGTTACCAGAAGGGAGGTGGGGGGAGGGATGGGTTGAATAGGTGATGGGGATTCAGAAAGGCACTTATGAGGAGCACTGGCTGTTGTGTGAAGTGCTGAATCCCTATACTGTACACCTGAAACTAAAGACAAAAACCAAACCAAAAACTCAAGATTGTCAAGACCATCCACCTTTGTTAACAATGAATTTCACCTTGAAGTATTAGCTACTGATAGTGAATCATCATAATTAGCAAGGCATTAAAATACGATTAAATTTTTATTTCTATCTTTATACATTTATAGAATGTACAATGCATTAGGTTGAACCATATGAAGTTAGTGATGTTCAACTTCTTTTACCTTTTAAAAATGTCAATTTCTTATGCTATATCCTTTACATTAGCACAAGTATATCCTTTCTAACTATACACATACACAAATACACACGTATTAGCTAACATGCTTTACTGATGGAGCAGGTTATCAAAAACATTTGCAGACTCCCGGTTTACTAGATGTAGAGTACACATGTGCTAATCCAATGGTCACATCAAGACCAAGAAAAGCTCACTGTAGTTTTGAAGTCAATATACAACTTCATACACACTCTGGAGGTATAAATACTGGGAGTAAAACCTGGTTGTTATGGGCACAGACTTCAGAACTAGATTACCTGGGTTCAGAACCTGGCTTTACCACTTAATGGCTGAGTGAACTTGGGTAAATTACTTAATTTCTTTGGGCCTCAATTTAATCCTTCATAAAATGAGAATAACACCACACACATCATTGAATCTAAGATGCCATCTATTGAAAGACACACTTAGATACAGAGATAGTAAAATGTGAAAACATACATCTTAGAGATAATGAAGCCCCTACCCCATAGAGTCATTGAGGATTAAATGAGTTAGTATAGGCAAAATGCTTAGGACAGGGCCTGGCACATAATAAGTACTACATAAGTGTTAATTACTACTATGATTACTACTAGAGCTGCCCCTCCTCCTCTTCTTACTACCAACACTGAAGTGTACTCATGTAATAGTCTTCAGAAAGTACTGGCAATTCCTCATGAACAGACTTTGAAATAAGTTTTCACATATTCAAACCTGTTCATGTTTCAAAAATTTTCCCCTATCCTATTTGAGGAACTATTTCATTCATTCATTCAACAAATATTTTTTGTGTGCTCTTGTCAAACTCCTCCTGAATGCCAAGTCCTAGGGATAGAGCAGTGAATAAAACAGACCAAAATCTCTGCCTTTGTGGAGTACATATTCAAGAAAGAGGAGAGCGATAATAAAACAGGTGCACTTATATGTGTTAGATGGGGAGGAATAGGTTACATGATACATTAGATGGGGAAGAACACTATAGAAAAAAATCTAAAGGCTGGCTGGTGAATCAGGGAGAGATGGTGTTGGTGGGGAATGATGGCAGTTAATCCTGGGTTCATATGAACAAATTAGCTTTATCAGGATAGCTATGCAATACTTTGTTCTTTCAGTTGCCTAATTCCATCTAAGGTCTTTAAAGTATAAATGGGTATTTCATTTTCCTCACTATTATGTTTGATGATTAAGGAAAAATAGCATTCTCAATTGGAAGTCAGATGCCTGAGAGTATGATATTTAAACTGATAAACACAAAAGGTGCAATAATACCCACAGTGATAATAATAATTGAGTTAATCCAAAACTAAACTCTTAACACATTTCAGTTTTGAAATGCTTCACCTATAAAATCCCATGGTGAGTAAACTCCCTGTGGGGAAGCTGTGCTGCCACGTTTGCCGTGATGGGAAGAGAAGTGTTACTGTGAAATCATTTGCATAGAGCGGTGACTCAGGAATTGTACTTCCTTGAGTTGTGAAGCTCATGCAAGAGGACTATTTCCATTGGTGACACTGCCTCAATGCAAGTGAAGCCTGGTGGCTGGCTTGCTCTCGGGGTAGCTCAACTCAACACCCAAGACCACTGTGTGCAAATGACCACAAAATGGACTGGGACTAGGATGCCAATTTAGTAATTTATAATATAAAACGAAATGGTCAAAACAAATCAGATCCTCAAATCTGGCTGGTCATCCGCTTTGCTCTATCAGGAACCCCTTCTTGGAAAAACCTTCAGTGCCAAAATGTTTCCTACTGTGTTGAGCCATAACAAAGGACATCACAGATCAACAGTGGACATTACAGAGCCCAGAGGACCTGAAAGAACACCCTTCCTTGTTACAGGACAGCTGTCCTACTCTTCGCATACTCCCTAAAGGCTGATGAGAGACCCTCACTTCTGGAAGCAGAAACCTACACTCTATACTTCCTTTCACCTGACTGCCAGGCTTATGTTCTTCCTCCCCAGCCCAGATCCAGCAATGCTAGTCATTCATGGAGCTAAGTGTTGATGATTTCTTTAAGGTCATGAAACACAGTCAGTGCCTGATATTTGCTGATGGGCTGGAGAAAAGTTAAAAATCCCAAACTGGGATTCCACCAGCTTGCTTTCATAAATATCACTGTTGTGGAGAAGTATATGGCAAAATATAATGAAAATTAAGTCTACTTCCCAATACAAGTGACATCTTCTTGACCACAGTAGCATTAATTGATCCAGAATCAGAAACCCAGTAATGTGCCATTAAAAGAGATGCATTTCTCCCAGTTGCTCTGTAATTTTGACTGAGTTTACAATGATCCTTTAACCCTTTATGATAAATGTAAACTTCTTCTACTTGTAATATTGATCTTCAGATTGAAGGTAGTTAAGCCAGAATGGAAAGAACAAGGAGTGATGACTGGATTCTGATCACAAATTCAAAGGTCATCATGTAAACAAAATAAGCAGGCAGATAATCTCAAAACTATGACTAGAGAGGGTAGATATCAGCTCAGTTTCAGAAAATAATTTCAAAAGGCTATGGAAGGGAGGTCCAAGTGACCGGGTGTCACTGTGGAAAGTATGTGAGCAGAAGATCCCTTAGGGGGATTTCTGTTCTTCAGGAGTTTGGATTAGCTGCTCTTACTTAGGATCCTTTCATCTCTCAATTCTATGAGTCTTAACAGTGAAAGTAGAGGGGGTCAGCTAAGGTGTTTTCCTTTTCTTATCTAGTAGCAACACAAAACTTTGAACGCAGGTGACCTGATGACATATTTGTGGGTCAGTACCTGGGAATTTGATACTCACAGTTCCTCTACAACACTCCAAGATGACAGCAGTGTAGATTTTCAAGATGAATATATGCCCAGTGAGCACAGCTTATACTGTCTCTAAAGAAGTTTCCTTTATGTTTGATATTATTTTTTGCCTTTATAGATTGACTTCAAGACTTTTTGAATGTGAACCTCACAGTGGGGTTTGTTTTTACTATATTAATTTGGATTTGACATAGAGAGGTATAAAAGCAGGAAAATGATGGCAGACTTAATAAAATTTAAAAAAAATTATAGTTGAATGAAAAAATTCCTGGAGGGACACACAAACAGTGGCTACTATCTTGACATGCCATGGAGGGCGGCAGTGAAGGGGGAAGGACACTTTTGTAATTCATGTTATTCCCTTCCATAGTGTCTGAATGATTTGCAAGTACATGTATCACTTTCATAAGAATAAAAAAGTAAAGACTAGGAATTTATTTTTAGGAGAACCGAACATACTGTGGAATATGGTCCTACCATGTCCAGCTCTGGATCTCCAGGGACTACCAAAGAGGAAGTGTTTGAGAAATGCTCATTGGAGGGGTGTATGAATGAATGAATGTGCAGATTGCCACTGTGGAGAGCAAGGTGGACTTCCAAGAAGGAAAAGTGCTCAGCACTGGGTTATGGTTTTCATAAAGACTGGGCCTCTTCCCCTGTATGTACTCTTACCATGAACTTTCAAAGTAATCCGCTTGTAGTCAGCACCGCCGTAGCCAATCAAGCAGCAGTAAACCCCGGCATCCTGCAACTTCACGTCTGTGATCTGAAGCGCAGCCTTCCCCAAGAAGAGCTGGTCCTTCAGCAGCTGGGCCCTCCGGCTGTAGCTGCTGTGCTGAACTTGCAGGTCTTCTTTCCCGTTCACAAACTGAATAATTTTCTTATCCTCCATTTCCCAGTAAACAATTAGTGCAAGCAGGTTTAACTGCTTTTCTATCGGGAATTTGCACTCCATGGTCACATTGCCGCCGTACTCCACCACATACAGGTCCTTGGACACTGTGATCGTAAATGCTGAAGAGAAAGATGACCAATTTTCAGAAGATGGGAAACTCCTCAAAAAATTTACAGATAGTTTCAGTAATTACCCCTGGGAAATGGATAGCAGGTAATGGACAAGTAGATAATGGGTTAATTTTCTTTCTTTCAGTTTGACCATATTCCCTATATCTTTGTCCAATGAAATGGGTTTATGAGATACAGAAGGAAAAACAATGTTTTCTCTACAAAAAAAGTTACATCCATCTTAAATAATTATTGTAGCTTTTAACTTATGGTTAAAATATTTAAAATACAGAACCTAATGAAAGGATCTGGTGTCTTACCTTTCAGCAAATGGCAGTAGGCCATGAATGCAAAGATGCTAAATATCTTCATCTTTCTCGAGTGACCTAATTATGGAAAGTGCAAAAAGAAAAATGCTTTATTCAATAATTGAACATCCAGGCATCATGGGTCTTGGCAGTTCTAAATGAAATAGTCTTCTGATAACCAGAAAAATGACTGATTGGTTAGTGTGGAAATGCAGCATGGAATTTAGAAGTTTAATACCTTTACTTATAACCCACAGTCCTATAAAACCAAGTGGAAAAAAGTTACTATGATGAGAATCTTTAAATGTAATTACAAGGCCTGAAAAAAAACTTATAATGAACACTCGAAAGAGGCCAAGAAGAAAATATTGCACTAAAATCCTCTCAACTATTTCATGTTTTTTCTGCAGTGGGACATATCTAGAAATCCAAACCTGCACTGTGCAAAATTTCAAAGCAAGGACAACCTGACTTCATATCTCCCACCTTTTAATGCTTTTATTCCACCCTTGCCTCTGAATATTTTCATCCTATCTTTAACTACTCAAGCCTTCCGTATCACCATCCCAGCTATGTCCCTTATCTCGCAGGTGCCATCCTTCAGAAATCTACTCTTCTGTCCTTGGCTTATTCCAAGTTATAAATCCTATTCTCTCAATAAACTGATTCCACTAGTAGCAGGAGTGAGAAGGAGAAACAGTTGAATTTGACCAATTCAGACTAAGATGTGAATGACTTACAGCTACTCTTTTAGGGGTATCTGCCTAGATTCTATTCTTCATTTTGTCATTCTGCTTGAAATTCCACCAATTCTTTAACTCAGCAAACATTGATTGAGCACCTCTTCTGTCCCAGGCACTGTTTTAGGTACTAGGAATACAGCAGTGAACAAGAAAGAAAAATCGCTCTCATTTTGGACCTTATATTCAAGTAGGGGAGTAAATAAAGATTTATACTGCATTTCAGCAAATTTGTTTATTTTTTTTAAAAAATTTTTATTGTTATGTTAATCACCATACATCACATCATTAGTTTTTGATGTAGTGTTCCATGATTCATTGTTTGCATATAACACCCAGTGCTCCATGCAGTACGTGCCCTCTTTGATACCCATCACCAAGCTAACCCATCCTCCCACCCCCCCGAAAACCCTCAGTTTGTTTATTAACACATTTCCCTCTTGTGTTATACATATATTTACACACTTCGAGAAGTCAGTTTTCCCTCTTAAGGTCTCTTTGACCCCCTTGTATACATATAAAAACTCACCAATGATCAATTAATCTATGCTACACATATAAGACAGAAGATTTATGCTCCTAATATATAAATAGCTCCTAAAAAATCAATAAGAACACCACACACAACCCAACAGAAAATGAGCAAAAGGTTCTAGCATACAGTTCAGAGAATAAGAAATACAAACGACATCTACACATCGGAAAGGATGCTCAATCTCAATTTTTTAAAAAGTGTAAGTTTAAAACATTAGGTACTATTTTTCACTTATTAGCTTAACCAAAATTATAAAGATTCCTAATATTTAGTGTTTGTAAAGATATGAACAAATGGGTTTTCTCACTGGGGGGTAGGTAGGAATGGTAGGAATGTGAAGTTACATAGCCTTTTTTGGAAGGCAATTTGATAATCTCCATTAAAATTTTAAATGTATATGATATATGAGCTTTCACTTCCTCTCCTAGAAATGTATCCTACAAAAACAAAAACATATATATAAACAATACATGTGAAGTGATGACATTGATAATTCTAGCCACAAACTGGGAATATTCCAGATAGCCTAACTAGTTAAATAAATGTTGTTATAGTCCTACAATGTAATACCACTAAGGACAGAATTGTATTGATTTTGCAAAGATGTAGAAAGTTGCAGAGTTGTACATGTAGAAATCTACTTTAGTTTAAAAACAAAGGAAGAAACATCTGTGTGTTTAGACATAGGAAATGTCCAGAAAAATCCATACCAACATGCTGATAGTGATTATCTCCAGGAGTGAAATCAGAGGGATGATAGGCAGGTTTTCACTTTTTTATACTTTTTTAAAGATTTATTTATTTATGAGAGAGATAGCAGGGAGAGAGGCAGAGGGAGATGGAGAGAAGATCCCAAGCAGCCTCCATGCTGAGCGAGGAGCCCCAAAAGAAGCTCGACCCCACGACCCTGAGATCGTGACCTGAGCCTAAACCAAGAGTCTGATGCTAAACTGACAGAGTCACCCAGATGCCCCATTTTTAAAATAATTTTTAAAAGGAAGAAAGGATGGGAGAAAAAGAAAAAAAGGGAAAGGAGATTGTTAATGATTTCTTTGTTGTTTTTCTGTGTCCACATTTTCAAATAAATAGATACGTTTTCCTCTTAGTAGAAAAAAAATAAACAAATTTAGTGAACCATTTCACCTTCTAAGCTGCAGAACGTTTGGGAGACAGAGTGGTAGAATGGAAAGAACCCTAGAAACTCACACATCAGAGTTGAGGTAGAATGATATTTGTTTATTTTTATGTCTTTCTTCATTATTTAAATAATAGAAACACAATATAGAAAATGAGAAAAGAAGGGGAAAATCACCCACTATTCCATTACTTTAACCCAGGAAACATTTGCTAACGCCTAGAAATAGTTTGGGTTCTCAAAATGCAGTGGGGTGGGAGCGAGGATTTCTACTTTCTAGTGGGTAAAGCCCATGTTGCTGCTAACCGTCCGACAATGCGTAGGACAGCCACCGCAGCAGGGATTTATCTAGGCCTAGGGGTCAATTGTGCCACGGCCGAGAAACCTTGCAACCACTGCGAGCATTCCAGTATACATTTTTCTTCTGGTCCTTCCCCCTATGAATCTTTGAAAAACAATTCTAATACATGTTTGGCTTATCATACATATAGGGTTGGGGTATCCTGGCTCTTACTTACAGCAGGAGGGCGCCTTAGGAGCTGCTGCAGGTGTGATGATTTACTCAGAGCAAACTGCCAGGGAGCAGCTAAGGGGGGACTAGGACCCAGGTGCTCGACCTCCAGCCTAGGAATTTCCCTCTAGACCCAGCTACATACCTCAGCACCATATTCATGAACGCGCGGAAACATATACCGACAAAACTGATACTAAGCGAAACCGAATCCCCCCGCCCCCCAAGAAGGGTCAAACGCCTTAGCTGTCCATATTAGCCCCAGCAGGTACGGGCTCCACCGCCGCGTGAAACCATCGCGCTTTCCCTGGCCCTTCTCTTCTCTCCATCCCAAAGAGAAGGTCTTCAGACCAGCTGCTTTTTAAAGGGCCACCCGAGGTGGCCAGAGGCACCGCTCGAGGGACGGACGCTCCCTACCTGCTGGCGGGGGGACCGGCGGCGGGTGCGGACGCTCGGCGCGCTGTGTCCGGGCGGCCAGGGCAGCTGCCCCGGGACACGCTAATGAGCCGGCGGGGGGAGGGGCCGATGTCCCCGCCCCCTGCCCGCCCCGCCCCCTGCCCGCCCCGCCCCCTGCCCCGGTCCGCCCCGCCGGGGGGGTTGGTTGCTTCCCTCCTCGTCGCCCAGCTTTAAAGTGGGGGAATTAGCGGATTCCGCACTCTTGGAAAAAAAATTAACGAAACAGAAAGTGAAACTTACCGTTCCGGTTTCTTGTAAATCAACTTTTAAAAAGAAAAGCTTCAAGGATTAAAGGAAACAACATCTATTTTTAAGATTTATTTATTTACTTGATAAGGAAAGAGCACAAGCGGGGGGAGCGGCAGGCAGAGGGAGAGGGAGTCGCAGGCTCCCCGCCGAGCAGGGAGCCCGATGCGGGGCTCGACCCCAGGACCCCCCAAGATCATGACCCGAGCCGAAGGCAGACGCTTAACTGAGTGAACCACACAGGTGCTCCCAACACCTCATATTTTTAAAAACAAAGGTTTAAAACAAACCAACTTCAGACGTGTGAAGTAAATTACCATAAGGATTTCAGACAGACAGTTTTATCTTCAGGATCCAGACACCTTAAATTCTGCCATCAGGTGCCCCCCTCTGATAAAAACCTTTTTACAAGGTGAGGGAACATCTTGACATAACTTGATATAATTCTACAATATATATAAAATATGATGACAGGTCCGCATGGCTTTGGTTTTTATTCTAGAAAGTAGGTGTGTCTATAATAGGAAATTATTTTTAATACGTGGATTTTGAGGACTTCCTCAAAGTTCCTCGACATAATGAAACTTCAATTGCTTTGTCATTAAAAGAACTTCCTATCACCACTTACACCTTTTAAGAATGCTCTGGACCCCTGCTATCTTGCCATCTTTGGGATCCAGATTAGGTTAGCACATTCCAGGTGAAGATTAAGAAAACCCTGCCAGTGATAACTCCAGATCAATAGATGACCCAGGCAGAAACCATGTGAGTCACACAGAGGTGATGGCATAATTTACTGAAGCATTCCCCACTGTTGGACTTCTAGGTGCTTCCCTCTCTTTCTCCTTCCTTCTTCTCTTTCTCCCTCCTTCTCCTTCCTTCTTCTCCTCCTCCTTCTCTTTCTAATTTAAATTGACAAACTGAAGTCTTCATCGTTTGACTTTCCTTATTCATTTCAGCTGCAATTCAAAATACTGCATAACACAAATGAATATTGAGATGTCCATTGGCTTGGTGATGGCATTTGCTTCCCAAGTAAGAATTTTCACATTCTCAGAATATCACATACATTTTTTTTTTACTTGTAAAAATACTGAGGATGATACTGCCTTAAAAATCTGGTAGAGAGCATGAAATTCTCTTTAGCCTCAATAAAGTTGTAATAGACTTGGATTCAGCTGAGATGCTCCCTCTTTCAAATCTCTCTCTCTTTTAAGATTTTATTTATTTGAGAGAGAGGGAGAGAGCATGAGCCAGGGGGAGAGGCAGAGGGAGAGGGAGCCTGCTGTGTGGGGCTTGATCCAGGACCCCTGGGATCATGATCTGAGCCAAAGGCAGACGCTTAACCGACTGAGCCACCCAGGCACCCCTCAAATCTCTTTTTAAGGCCACATAGTGGAATACAAGTGTTATCCCAACTTTAGTCCCTCTGGTATTTTCTACTTAATCTTTCATTTTTCTAAAAATGATAGTTAAGACCCAGGACATAGATTTCATGACCTACAAGTGTGGTCATGACTATCAAGTCAGAAAAAACTGACTCTAGAGCCACCTGCCACTGACTAGCTGAGTTATCCTGAGCAACCAATTTACTGAGTAGTAGCCAGGACTAAGTAATATCCTCTTAGATGGCCTCTATGATCTATGAATAATTTTTAAAACTGAGCAAGTGTTTAGTTTTTTGTATGTTTGTTTTATCAAAGCAATGTCCGGGGTCTACATAATGATCAACAGAGAAGACAGAGAGTGAATGGAATTTGCCTTTCTTTGAAGTTGATGATGGTAATGGGAGGTATTTACTCAGCTTGCTGCTTTACATATTTGATTTGCATATTAGTAATCTGATGATTGCTGATTTTGTTCATCCTACCCACCTGTCTGCACTCTTCAGCCATTCATTTTCCCATAGTTTATCAAGCTTTTTTTTAAAAAAGATTTTATTTATTTATTTGACAGAGAGAGCAAGAGAGCACAGCAGAGGGAGCAGTAGAAGGAGAGGGAGAAGCAGGCTCCCCACTGAGCAGGCAGGGAGCCTGATGAGGGGCTGGATCCCAAGACCCTGGGATCATGACCTGAGCCAAAGGCGGACGATTAACTATCTGAGCCACCCAGGCGCCCCAGTTTATCAAGCTTCTTAATGAAGTTTTTGATATCCTCTGGAGATAGAAAAACAGGACATGTTTAGAAAAAAAGAGATTTTACCACTTCAAAAAATACATGAAAATCTGTATATAACTACAATGAAATTAAAATTAAAAACCTTAAAAAATACGAAAATCAAAACAATCCCGATTTTGCGATTTGGGCAAAGTAGATGGAGAAGTCCTAAGATAGGAGAGGACCAGTGGGAAGCCAGAGGTAGAGAGTGATGCCCAGATCATCTTCACCATTGCTATTTCCTATTCATGCCCCTCTTACTCTGTTCATTTTTAGAGGAAAAAACTCATCATTGCAAATGTGTCCTTTCTCAGACATGCTGTTTCCAAGGTTCACTTGAATCATGGTTGACTTGGGGTAGGTGTTTAAATACAGAATTCAGGTTTCTGACACAGACCTGTTGAATCCAGTTGTCTGGGGGCTGGTCCTGGGAGTCTACATTTCAACACCATCCCTGGGTGGCTCATGTGCACACTAAAGCTTTAAAAACTGATGGCATGATGTTTAAGGAAAAATTGAGCAAGAGTTCTTTGCAAGTGTAGTCATAACTCCCCTTCCTGTATCTAATTTTGTTAATTGGTATCAATACCACCCTTCACTCTACCTCTGGTTATCCCACTTCCACTTTTGCCCCCTAAAATAAGAAAGATGATCTTTGGGGCGGCTGGGTGGCTCAGTCGTTAAGCGTCTGCCTTCGGCTCAGGTCATGATCCCAGAGTCCTGGGATTGAGCCCCGCATCGGGCTCCCTGCTTGGCGGGAAGCCTGCTTCTCCCTCTCCCACTCCCCCTGCTTGTGTTCCCTCTCTCACTGTGTCTCTCTCTGTCAAATAAATAAATAAAATCTTAAAAAAAAAAAAAAAAAGAAAGAAAGATGATCTTTGTTTGTCCTGATCTTAAAAGGAGGACAGATTCCAGCTTCTTACAACTGGGCTTGAAATGTTGTTAGCGATTTCCTGGTAAAGGAGCAACTTCCAGTTAACTTTCTTGATCATCAAAAACAGGGTAAAATGAAGATACTTTAAAAATATCAACAACATGCTTTGTTTGCACTGAATGTTTAAAAATGCATTCTATTACTATGTACAAAGACAATATCCAAATTTGTCTCCATATTCTGTCTTTGATTGTGTAGGACTGTAAACCACTGCCCTATTTTATGCCCATTTCTCTCTGTGTCCCCATCCACCAGCTCTGGCCTTCTGTTGGTTCCACCTTCGCCATCTATTCACAATCTGTAGATTCGTACCGAACAGATTTCATGGAGAACACTTTGCCCTGGTAATACAATACAACTGTTTATAGGAGTAATTTACATGCATGGATGACCAGAGAGCCGCAGCTGTCTTCACCTGATGCCCACACTCAGCGGCTTCTCTCACTTGCACTGTATTTGTCTCCCTCCTTCCTGTCCTGAGCTCTGGCGAAGAGCTGGCTAGGTGAAGAGCTCCAGCCTTCAAAGGGCAGCTCCCACGCTGTGGGCACTTTAAAGCAAAGATGAGACCTCCAACAATGTCCCCTGCCCTCAGGAATTCATAAACCCAGACATAAATAATTGTGACTTGAAAAAATGCTGTGGAGCTTTGGGACCCTATGGTAGATAATTTAATTCTAAGGAATCTCAATAAATGAACTGAAGGCCACTGAAAATAAAGTTTACAATTGAGAGATACCCTATTAGAGTCTACTAGGAAATATTTTATTGACTTAATATCCTAGAACTAAATAACCTAAGTGAATGCTGTACAAATGAAACAGCCCTCGGGCGCCTGAGTGGCTCAGTTGGTTAAGCGACTGCCTTCAGCTCAGGTCATGATCCTGGAGTCCCGGGATCGAGTCCCGCATCAGGCTCCCTGCTCAGCAGGGCGTCTGCTTCTCCCTCTGACCCTCCCCCCTCTCATGCTTTATCCCATTCTCTCTCTCAAATAAATAAATAAAATCTAAAAAAAAAAAATGAAACAGCCCTCTTCGAGTTCATTTCACTTGATTTAAGGACATGATTTAGTTCAAATGTCTCTTGTGGAATTGCCTCCAGAAGTATTATTTTATATTCACACTTAGATTTAAACTGAGAACAATGAGTCTTAAATGTCTAAAAGTCTCTGAAGCTCTTCCTTTGAAGGAATAACTGATTTCTGTTTTCTGGTCTAGGTGGTGATTCAAAGACTAAGTTAGCACAAACATATGTTGTACCCTTCTTGTGGAGAGCTGAAAAGGAAAGGGAATAGATACTAAAGTGGGTCATTTTACTCATCAGAGTTCAGAGACTGTTCTCAATTTAAAAAAAAAAAACATTCATGCTGAATTTCTCAGGGTTGCAGAAGGCTGAGAGTCACAGGTGGAGAACAGGGTCATGTGAGCTGCATGAGAAGGAAGTTAACAGGGCTGTAGTCTAATGGTATGGAGACCTCATAGTTGAGAAGGAGGAGAAATATAAATAGATATTGTAGTGGAAAAAATTGGGTATGAGAGAAATATCTAGAGAAGATTTTGGAGTCTGCTAAATACGCTGTGCAGAGCATTTGCAGGGACTCCTTAAGAAAGCTTAAGTATTATTTTTCAATATTTCAGCTGTCAGTTTATGTTTCCTTAGAAAGCTATTACATGCTTGGACTGAACCATGTGAAGCCT